ACCGGCGATCTTCTTCTGGCAGTCGGTCGGAGGACGGACTTCGTGTTTCGTTTCCCTCAACGTCCCAAGGCCGTCATGTCCCCATTTATTCTTCCACGGGATGCCGCATTTCTGGTTTGTCTCGGCTGCTCTCATTTACTCACCGACGTGGCGTTGACCCGGAAAGAGTTAGCAACTGAAGTTGAGTGAATCACAACTTTTGGCTGGTGACGTTTTTATTCGCCAAAACAACCCACACGCTTCGTTGTCGATGACGATGACGACCAATCCTTAACTAACTATTCTGGCACATTTAATAAACAATACGTTCCAGGCCAGCAGCGTTTTATCCGCACGATTCCGTTGCTCGCGCCTATGTATGCTCCACGTGCAAAATCCGCGCAGCTGTTACTGGGCAACATTTTACGGGGGGCACCGTTTGACCGGTTCCACCTCCGGCTATTTGTTTTCGGTTTTCTCCTCCATCGCGTACACCGATTTTATTTTTTACGTTCATATTAACCTGAGCATCATGTAAGTTTCTTAGAAGACGGACGAAGACCGTGCGCCCCCGCCTGTCACCGGCACGACGACGCGATGACCAACCACCTACGAACGTCGTCGTAGTTCGTCATCAGCTGATTTCCGCAGCCCGCCCTTCTGCCATGCCGCCACGGAGTGGACGTACTTCCTCTGGTTGGTCTTCTTGGTAGTAGTCGAATTACGAACGAGCTATGAGCTCCCGACCGTGGCAGTTCTTCCTCGTCTTTAATTCACGCCGTGGTACGATAGCCTTCGGCGCAGTCCTCCTTCCGGTAACTTTGTCGTCGCTGCTGTTGCTGGTGTTGTGTGCGACCACTCCTGTCGCTTCCAGGCCACTTCCCGACGACCGACTCGACGAGACGATAACCGACGAGGTGGTAAGTGTATTTCCTCTGCTCTTGGTTTATGTCGAAACTAAAACTAATTCGTTATAATAATTTCATTAACCGATCGCTAAGCCTTCTTCAGTCTTGGAGACACGTGGCCTGCACCGGAAACACATGGTTGACAGCAGCAGCTTCGCCACTGCTTAACAAATGCCAAGCGCTAGCTTATAATCAAAATTAAATATTCAGTGATCAGCACTATTCGCGCGTTTCACATCAGATCGTTTTGACTCCTCCTTAATTTAAAAAAAATAATCAAGGAGATTCTGACATGTAGAAGAACTGTGCCGAGGCAAACACTAAAATTAAAACAAAAATTAACTCTGGCACTGAGGGCTTGCTAGCAAATTGCTAGTTATATCGGGTTATGTTTTTATTGCATATGCCCATGCATTGAGGAATGTTCATTTTTGTTGGAATATGTTTTCTTAAACCCAACAGTGGTGTACTTTTGCGCCCATGATACCGTGGTCTGTTTAAACGGTCCGTCCTCTGGGCAGTTGGAAGTAATGGGACGGTACGATTGTACGGCACAAATCGGAAGAAGTGACAAGAGATTGGTAAAGAACTATTTTTGCCTACTCCGGCAAAAGGAATGAAAATATAACCATGGGATGTCGGTCTCCCTTACACTTTGACCGATTGGCGCCATTTATGGCGCCTTTCTTTTCTTCACGCTTATGATGCCGTTTCTGAAACTTCTATCATTAGTCATAAATGCCTTATTTTGAAGATGATGTGTATAACTGTGCAGCAGATACACTGTGTAGTACCTTTTCATTTAAAACCAACCTTCAGATGTGGCTTATTGCAGTGACAACCGGTAGGCGGCGGAACAGAGGTATGTTCACTGAAACCGGCGCATTGCTCATACTTTCACAGCGGGCTCAAGATATGCCTTTTTGGCATGCTCATTTTCATAACCCTTATCGTGTAGTGTTAATAACTGTTTCTGTTTGGTCAACCATGCGTGTCCGATAGTCGCATATCTCACTGGTGATTGAACGTGCCGTTGTTCAGCCCAACTCACTCACTTTTGCAGTCTTCCGTCCCATGTACTGTAGCCTCTTAAATACCATGACCTGCATTAAGTGGTCTCCGCCGAAACGATTGGAATCAAGGTGCTGTGCACTGTTGCGGTTAAACCAGGTTTAATGGCTTCCATGTGTCTTATACTACCGCAGTAGTGTAAAGTAAGTTAAATTGTTCTTAATTTACATAATACGTTTTCGCCATCTAAATCCGCTATCAACGTTTGATATATAAGTGCCTTATTGTTCTTGTTTTCTAAGGCTAGATCATCAGTTTTCTTCGAAAGCTTTGTATTAAGTAACGTATCAGATCAACTTTAATGGCCGCACTCCGGACTTTGATTGATGTTTGCCATTTTGTCCGGCTTCCGTCCGCTTGGACGGTGGGCCGTTTTCGATCGCCACATGCAAGCACGTGTTTTGCCTCTGATCGCGCCCTCATCAGCCGTCTACGCCGTCGATTAAACAAAGGTGACATGCCAGAAGTACGGTTGATCGCTTTGGCTTAGCAGCGGCTTACTGTTTGTCGACAGTAGCACAGTAGAGCATCTCGTAACGAAATGTTCGTTATGGATAAGTATGCCATTTGCTGTGATAATGCAGCAGCAGCGTCACCTTGACGGTTTGTGGCATCCAATGAATTGCAGCTGTCCACAGCTTACTCCCTAACGTCAGTTGCATTCACCTCATGGAGAGCCGAGCCGACCGTAAAAACGCACATGGGCGCATGAAGACCTTGGTCACGTGAACCGACCGGTAATCGGCGACGAATGGCGCCCGCCGCAACACTCTGGCCAATCCTCGCGGCTTATAGTCTTTCACCTCCAAGCGTGGCCTTCCCGGCTTTTGGTATGACCTTCCCACCGACGTGGTCGACGACCAAGTGGCTTACATTGCACGAGAGGGTACCAGTCGATGATCATCGCCAACCGTCTTCCCTCTGTGAGCTAAGCTACGTGCCCGGCCCACCTTACCTG